CCTAAATCACTCGTACGCACAATTTAAGAACAAATCTGTGAGTACGAACGGTTCTTGCATGAGGCCCATTGTGCTCTTCACAGATGAGAGCAGGTTAGCACTGAGCACGTGACAGGAGAGTCTGGAGACGCCACAGAGAAGGTTTTGCTGTGTACAGGTCAGTAATTGTGTGGGGAGGCATTTCTATGGAGGGCTACACAGACTTCCATGTGCTAGCCGGAGGTACCCTGACTGCCATTAGGTACCAGGATGAGATCCTCACCATATGCTGGGTTCCTTTTGATGCACGATAATGCTTGACCTCGTGGCTGAAGTGTGTCAGCAGTTCCTGCATGAAGAAGGCATTGATGCTATAGACTGGCCTGTTTGTTCCCCAGACCTGAATCCAATCAAGCACATCTGGGACGGCATGTCTTGTTTTATCCACCAACCCCACGTTGCACCTCAGACGGTCGAGCAGTTGACTGATCCTTTAATCCAGGTGTGGAATGAGATCACTGAGGCAGTGGTTCTGATTCTCATGGCTCACTATTCTACATGTTTTAGTTTCCCCGCTCTTCAGCAGGACTTTTAAGTTCTGCAGATGCTTGTCAATCACTCATTCATTGAAATCAGGTGTGCCAAAGCATGGAGGTCATACAGGCTTGTGGAGACCACACACTACTACCACTGAGCCTCATTTCGTCTTGTCTTGAGGAGTTTTCACTGAAGTTGGATCAGCCTGTAATGTGGTTTTCCACTTTTATTTTGAGTATGATTCCAAAGCCAGACCTCCATCGGATAACAATGTTGATTAACACTAATTGTTTTTGTTATTTTGTTCTTAATGCATTTGACTATGTAACGAAGAACGTTTTTCAGCTGCAAAATTTCATTAATTAAGATCTGGAATGTGATATTTTAGGATTCCCTTTATTTTTTTTAGCAGTGTATAAAAGGGTTACATTCTGCTTGCTAACATATTCTCTGAAGGTAAAGCTGTTTTTTATATAGTAACTACTATTAGTTTAAGGCTCTGTCACACTGTGATGTTCTGGAGAACTTATGCTCACAAGTGCAAATGATTTGCAATTGTCCACCACGCTGGTATTTGTGTAAATTAGTTGTGAGTTCTGAATAAGTTGGCAGCACACTGATCTACACTGACCAGACAGTAACGTCAGACGTACTCAAAATTTTCAGCTTATGTTGACGTATCGCTGATAAGTGAAGCATAAGTTCCAGATATGCCACAGTTGATTCATGCATACGTTCTAATATGTTGTAGGTAATTTATTCATTTGTTCCTCATAAGTGAACATTAGTCCCACACCAGCTGGGCAATTCTGAAGTGAGCATGTAATTTATTTTTAACTTCTGAGTACCATTCACTTACAGTGGTGTGAAAAGTGTTCGACGCTTCCTGATTTTTCATTCTTTTACATATTTGTTGCAATTTAATGTTTCAGATCACCAAACAAATTTAAATGTCTGACTTTGTAATGGAAATGCAATAAACAGCCTTCTAATTGATGTTTTCCTCTTCTTGTGAACATGTTGAACAACATTTGCACGTTAGCATAGGTTCTCCAAAATGTTGTAGTGTGTTGTAGCAAACTGTTCTAAGCAGAACGACTGGTGTATCTAATGTGTTTTATCATTTTCTTGCTTTTCAGGAAACAAACAATCTGAAACATTTGAGCTCAGATAATGAAGGTAAGTTGATTTCACAGAAACAAATGTCTTGAATTGAAATGAATTTTAGAAAAAAAAATTAAGCAATTGCTTGTGGCATCAATTTGATAAGATAAAAGCATGTTGTGTATTTTTTAGATCAGTGTAATTTTTATTTATTTTTACTTTCGCCTGTGTTCTGTTCTAACCTTCAGTTTCTGTCATGACAGATTTAAGAGAGAAGAAACCTCAACTTCTTCCCTCTTTTGGTTTCTTTGAAAAGATGGTAGGCTATGGGATTCTTTACTTTTTTTTGTAATTTTGTAACGTTTAAGTATTTTAGTTAATTATAAAAAAGTAAATTTGAGAAGGTATATGATACCAGAGTGTTCCAGGCTTCTGTTGTGTTGTAAAAAAAACACAAGTTTCTATTTTTAAGCCTTAAAAAGTATCTTCAGATTTTCTGTTTTAGGTCTTAAAATCCTTTAGAAACTCTCATGACCATACATTCTACTTTATAATGCTTTCAAATAGGGATGCACGATAACTTATTTTAAGAACCGATACCAATAACTTTCTCCTTCTAATGGCCAATAACCGATAATAACCGATAACATGCCAGGAGAGACGAGTCAAAAATGGGTAAGATTATAACATAAATAACACCAAAACCAAATGACACTGTAAATTATACTATTTGAAATAAACTCTTAGCAAACAAACATTTCCTAAAGTATATCAAACAAAACAATTTCTCACATGGCCATTTTTTAAAATAAGGCACATTAATTATAATAAAGACCTTTAACACTGATCTCAGATTTAAACAAAAGAGAAAAAGTCATTCCACAAGTTCAAAACAGATAATACACTAACACAAGCTATGCTACGTTCAGCAAAAAAGCACCCAACGCCTCCAATTGGACGCACTACGTTCAGACCGGGACAGAGACTAGACGCGCCTCTGCAGGAGGAGGAGCATCTTGGTTTTTTTTCCAGTCAGTCTTCGGCGGGTGAAATAAAGATGAAATAAAGATAATGGCTTTGCTTTATTTACTAAAGAGCAAGCGAACATTGCGCACAGCAGATAATTAATTCACCAGATGATTAAGAGGCGGTCTGTTCGGTTAGTTTCGCCACTCCAGGAACTGCGAGCCGACGGACTATTTTTTTTTGCCCTGAGCCCAGTTGAACACCGCAGTCACTTTAACGAGCTGCTGACCCACATCGGTGCTGATGTCTCCAGCCAGAACATCAACTACAGACGGTCGATTTCAGCTAAAGATCTCCTGTCCGTCTGTTTGTGGGCAACATTCAGGAAACTGTCACGTGGAAAAATAAGTCTCTCTGATTGGTTGTCAAGACGCGTCGAGCGGCGAAAGATCAGATTTTTTAACTCGGGCGTCGGCTGCTTTCGCTGCACCGCATGCACGGAAAATGTTCTGCCGCACCTTCCGTGTTCCTTGCGCGCCGCAAGAACCCTAGAGGCGCCTCCACTATAGACTTTGCATGTAAACCAGCTGCTCCTGCTGCTCAAAACGCGTTCAGTGTGAATGCACCATTAGATTCGAAGTTCATTTGTTTTTATTATTGATATATAATTTAAAATATTTTTCTACCTGAAACAGTGATTCTGAGAGTGCGAATACATTACGATCACATCATACTTACAGGAAGACACACAAAGTTAGCAGCAGCTCAGCATGGTAAACGGTGGCTAACAGGAGATAAAAGCTTCTGTCTTTAGCGAGGGTGAACGGCTGCTTGTCAAGCTCCATCGTCTCCATCGTTAAATTGCTTGAGATCTGCGTCCTCTCTGGCAATTATTTTGGATTTGTCAAAAGCCTCAGCAATGRTTTAAGTCCCGATGAGTTTTTAAATGCTAGCTTGCTGTTGTTAGCATTTTAGCAGACAGACTTTGTGCTGCATTCAGGAGGTAAYGGACATTACATGTTCTCAAATTGGGAGTAGTTGTTCCGACCTTTTTATGTTTACTAATTGAAAAAGCACAGTTAGAAAACAACTAGGTGTTTTGATGTGTCACTACCAGTTTGCTGGTGGGGGAGGAAAAGACCTTCCTGATGATCACATTAATCATCGGGAGCAGGACATTCTAGCTTTTTTTCTGTTTTTAACCCTCTGTTGTTTTGCAAAATTTGTATTTTTTGTTTCAGTTATTGCCTATTTTGATTTGTGTGTTTAAAGGCCATAAAACAAGAGTTCAAAGATGCACAGGAAGAAGAAAATCATGATAGGAAGCCACATCTGCTAGAGSAACCGAAAATCAAAAAGTTTAAAGGTTGTGACACTTCAGGCCACAGTATGCCTTCATCAGACAATGGRCAGGTGATGCAGATACTCTACAGTGGAAATAGTGTTTACTAGTCTCCTTTTTTTGTCCCCTGACCTTGCTGATTTTCCTTCCMAAAGGAGTTGCTCGTCTGTCCTGCTCTTCCCACCCTCCCACTCCCCAGCTCCTTGAACAYGGAAGCAGCTTTGTACAGCATGCCTCAGAAAGTTGAATTGAAACTGGCCCTCATCAGGAACCCCACTAGACTGTCTGTTCTTTGGAACGTGACGGAAAAAGACCCCGCTGCGCCGATCATGGACAGCTACACGTAGGAAACCAAATAAATTATTTTGCTTAGCTTTGTCAGTTGCTAAATGTTTAGTTGAAACACACAGCTGCCAAAACCTTTTTTCATGCCCTGTTAAAACTTCATACTTTCACTTAAAGCTAACGTTATCCTTTTCTCTTCCCGCTGCAGGATTTTCTTGACTATGGAAAAGGTCAAAGGAAGCGGCACCTTCCCAAAATGGAGGTCTTATAGTCAGCTGAAGGCCACGTCTCTGCCAATGGGCGCGCTGATAAAAAAGTACAAGCCTGGACACAAAGTGTGTGCCGCTGTTGTAGGAAAAGACATTTTTGGACGTTACGGACCATATAGTGAGGTTGTCACAAAGACGATGCCGGACTAGTTGTGAAAGTGCTGYCTTTTCTAAGGAGACTGACAAATTTATTTTTACCGAGCAGCTTTTGTAAATCATGGTTTTACTATGTGTTAAGGAAGACAATGTTTTTTGTTTTGACAGTAAAATTGAGCTAGGTGGCACAATGTCAGTTTTAGCTCACTAACAATATCATGTCAAATGTTTTATATGGTTACCCCCCACCTCACACACACACACACACACACACACACACACACACACACACACACACACAC